CGCGCACGATTTTAAACTGCGGTCCTGGCGCGCCCTCTGGTGGAAATAGCGGGCACAGCACGTCGCGCTGACTCCTCGCCCCTTCTGGAGTCGTAGGTTGGGGGGGGGGCGAAAGGAAGGGTCGTCGTCTGTGGCCCCCCGTTCCCTCCCGGCAGTTCTAGGATGTGGCCATATTCCCCGGAGCCTGTGGATCGCTCCTCTCCTCGCTTAAGCAGGCCGAGGAGCCAAGACACGTTCGGCCTCTGGGACAAATGGGAAGGTCAGGACCCAGGTATACCTCGCGGTGGGGAGGTGGGCTGGGGGAGGAAAGGGGAGAGGAAGGGGCTGGACCCCGGGATGCCTCAGCCTCACTCTCGAAGGAGGATCATTCCGTCCCTCCCCTGGGGCCGGGGAGGCCAATTATTCGAGGGGGCCCTAGAGTAAGACAAACCTGGGTTCCAGCTCCCTTCCTTGCCTCTCTGAGCCTCGGTTTCTCTATCTGGGAAATGGGGGTGAAAATCTGCCTTCATCCTCTTCCCTCCTTCCTCCTGCCCTCCTCTCTACAAAGCCAAATAAAGACGCACAGACATATAGACTCGAATGTGCTCACCCGCAGATGCACACAGAGACACAAACACACGCACACAACCTCAGCCCGCCAGTCACCTGCACAGCTCAAATCAGGCTCCTGCAAAGCCCTGCGCCCACTGCAGGCCAACCCCACCACCCTGCGGCGGGCCGGCCTTAGCCCGCTCTCCCAGGTTCCTGCCTCGGCCTCCTCCTGCTCCAGCCTTGCACCCTGCACCCCGCCGACCTAAAACACAAACCTCTTCCCCCATCCTGCTCAAACCCCTCCCGTGGTTCCCCAGCGGTTAATGGGGCCCAAAGGCCCTGCCAGTTTGCACACCTCCCCACCCCCACCCCAGCAACCTCTTCACACGCATTTGCTGCCTCACGTGAAAATCCAGCCAGACAGCGACCACCATGGAGGCAGGAGGCCTTCTTTGGCGTCATTCTGCCTCCGCTGCAGCAGCGTTTAGCCTGACTTGGGAGGGGCAGTAATTACACATTAATAAGCCCATATAGTCACATCCCTGGCTTGGGGCTTTTGCCCTGGCTCTTCCTGCCCCCATCATGCGCTTCCCCCAGGCATCCGCTGACCGCACCCCCTCCCCTCCTTTGGGTTTTTGCAGTATTGAGAGACCCCGTCTCTACAAAAAAAATATAAAAGTAGCGAGGGTTGGCGGCGTGCGCCTGTGGTCCCAGCTACTAAGAGGGAGGCTGAGGTGGAAGTATCGCTTGAGCCCAGAGGTTCGAGGCTGCAGTGAGCTGTGATCGCGCACCTACACTTGTCACTTTCTCAGTGAGGGCTTCCCAGGCCACCTGGTTTATACCCTCCCCTGCCCCGGCCCTCCTCGGGCCGCTGCCTGCTGGACTTTTGTCCCCAGCAGGTCTCACTCCTTAATGCATGGATTTCGTCCTCATCAAGGGAGCTCAATGCAGCCTCCCCACCGCATGCTCCCTGCGGGAGGGTCCTGTTTCCTGCATCTAGAACAGGGCCTGGGACGCGTCGGTCCCGGATAAATCTGGATTCCTCAAACTGCGCTGCAGGCTCCTCCCAGACTGTCGCCTTCTCTTCCAGGAGGGGGCAGCTGCGCTCCGTTCCACCCGCCCCCAGAGGCTCCACGCGGGACAGACCCAGCTGCTGCCGCCTGTGCTGGTCTCTGCGCGCCGGGACCCTTCCCGGCGGGACCTCAAGGCCTTTAGGCAGCTGCTCCTTCCACCCCAAACGCTCCTCCCCACCCGCTCGGCGCACTCCCTCCAGGAACCAGGGAATGAAAAGAATGTTTTTTTCCAGCACATTCGCCACGAGACATATCTGGGGTCTGACTCCCCTGGTCCCCGTGGTTCATTCCGACCGCCAGTCATTCCACAAATAACAGCAGCCGCCGCGTGCCAGGCACCGTGCTGGGTCAGGGGACAAGAAGGGGACGTGCCAGGCTACACTTTCTCCCTACAGAGCTGGCCCTGAGCCGCTCTGCGGCGCCTCTCCCCGCCACGCCCACCTGTTCCCATGCCGCGTGGGTCCCCACAGCAACCTCTCGGGGTCCCCTGAAGCGGCTGATGCTGCTGCGACCCCACAGGGCGCTGGGGGGAGTTGGAAAGCAGGAGGAAGGGGACGCCTTCTGAGGAATGCTCGGGCCGTGGTGGCGGCAGCAGCTGGCTGTCACTGCGGTGAACCAGGGGCTCCCGGGTCCCTCCTCAGGCAAGCCAGTCCGGTGCGTGGAACTTGGCAGCCGTATACCCGGGCTCTGGGCAGCAGCATTTCCCACGCGGCTCCCCCAGCCCTCGGGAGGCAGCAGCTCCCTGCATTGCTAATATCGGGACAAACCGACCTCCCTGTTTTTGCACCTTCTGATTGCAATACCCCAGTCACCAATTTCCTCTTTTAACCTCCCTGACAGGTACAGCAGGTGCGCTACTGAGAAATGAGTGCATCAGGGGGCAGTAGTCACTCTGAAAAATAAAAGGAGGAAGTGCAGAAAGCGTTACTTTTTTTTTTTTTGAGATGGAGTCTGGCTGTGTTGCCCCAGCTGCAGTGCAGCATCAAGATCTCGGCTCACTGCAACCTCCGCCTCCCGGGTTCAAGCGATTCTCCTGCCTCAGCCTCCTGAGTAACTGAGACTACAGGCGTGCCAGCCACCACGCTTGGCTAATTTTTGTATTTTTGGTAGAGACGGGGTTTCACCATGTTGGCCAGGCTGGTCTTGAACTCCTAACCTTGTGATCCACCCACCTCAGCCTCCCAAAGTGCTGGGATTACAGGTGTGAGCCACCGCACCTGGCCCAAGGGTTACATTTTTGTAGGTGGTCAGGGAAGCTCTCCCTGGGAATGTGACATTTGAAGAAAGGTCCAAATGACCGTCCAGGTCAGAGCCATGCCCACAGCCTGGGGAAGGGCACTCCAGTGCAAAGAAAGAGCAGAGCAAATGCCCTGAGGCAGAAATATGCCTTATGTGTCCTGGAGACCTGGGTGGCTGAAGCCACGCAAGACACAGAGAGGGCAGTGGGAGACAAGGCAGACGGTGAGATGGGGGCAGTGTGTAGACCTGAGCTGTGCAAGATTGCCGCCTGCGATGGTGGTGATGTCCTGCACCAGCTCTGAGCAGTGTGGTAGCTGCTGGCCACGTGTGGCTCTTGAGCACTTGTGACGTGGCTGGGAAGACTGAGGAAATTGATGTATAATTTTATTTAATCTTAATTACATGTAAATCTAGTGTACCCCCATGATTATTTAGTTGGACAAAGCATGTCTAGACAGTCATAAGAACTGCAGCTGTCATGGCACATGAAGGAGCCCTTGGGGTATTTGGGGAAGGGAAGGAATGCAATCAGACCCCAGGTGTGACTTCTGAGAGGATGCCTCTGGCAGCCATGTATGGTGGGGGGACACGGGATGGAGGGAGGCAGAAAACCCAGGTAGGATGGAAGGCTGAGACTGAGGTCCAGGGCAGAGGCTAGGGGTGGAGGCTGGGGGGTGGGTGAATGCAGCTGCAACCTGGCAGTGTATCTGGGTGGAAGCTAGGGTGGGGATTGGCCGGGCAGGGTTAGGGCCACAGGGGAACTCTGGAGGCAACTTAGGGTCTCCATGGGTGTCCAAGGGCCTCAGAGCTGAGACTGAGGGCGAAGGCTGGAAGCGGGGAGGTGTCAAGGGTGGGGGTGGAAGCCCAGATCTGCAAGGGGTGAGATGATGTTGGGGGGTAGGGAGGGCCAGGAGGGGTGCACAACCCTTGAAGCAACAAAGGACAGTGTGTGTAAACCAGTGACAGGGCAGTTCCCAGGTGTTCTGGGCGAGCCACTGTCAAGACTGTGGACATATGCGGCCCGCGCTCCACACTCCCCCTGCCCCATCGCCCAGAGCACTGAGAGAGCACAATGCTGAATTTCACTTTACTGGAGGATCCAGGTGACACAGCGCACAGGGAGAGAAGCCTAGAACTGCTATGGTGCACAGGGAGAGAAGCTTAGAATCACACGGGAGAAGCACACCTAGGGCCCTCCCCACCCACAGCAACACTGCAGGCTGCTGTGCCCAGCCCTCCGCACACCCAGCCTGCTCCTTGGTGGGTGGGTCACTGTCCGGGGCAGCCTCTGCAGGGAGGATCACCCAAGCCCTGCAGCAGCTCCCAGTTGGCTTCTGCATCTGGGTGTCCCTGACAGTCCAGTCCAGGCTGCGAGGCCACACCCAGGCCCCCCTGTTTTTCCCGAGACAAGCAGGGCAGGGCCTCCTTGCACGTCGAGCTCCCTATACTGCCAGGGTATAGAAATTGGGACGAGGAAGCACACACATTGCCCCAGGGACAGGAAGGCAGGAACGAACAAGGGGGCCTGTGGAGACCGATATCTAGGGAAATATCAAGCTCAGCAGGGGTTGGGGGAGCTGAAGCGAATGGCACAGCACGGAATCACACACAGCTGAAGCGTCTGCACTTGGGACAGCAGGTGCTGAAGCTGGAGAGCCCCGGCCCCGCCTACTCGGAAACCTCCCTGGCAGGGTTGGGATTTCCTCCCAGGTCTTTTCATCCCCTGTAAGGAGGGACACATTGCCAGCTTCTGCACTGCCTAGGTGAGCCTCTGCCCCTCACCGCGTCCTTCAGGGACCCCTCTGGCTTTTAATTCACTCAGGAGGTGAACCTAGGGACTTTCAAGGTCTTTAGGGCTGCAAGGCCAGCGCTGAGCGGTGGGTCAGCTCCACGGGAGAGTGGGGACCCAGGGGAGCCATAACCAATTGGGGGGGGGCAGGGCCACAGCCCAGAGGAACCAAGACTCTGGATTTTATGTGAATTTCCCCAAATGGAACATGTCGGCAAATAATTAGAATGTTGGGAAACACTGCAGTCTAAGTGACAAATTCAGCTTGTGGTCAGCGGCAGGTGGCCTCGGCCTGGGGCTGGCTCCTTTGTATCAGGGCCGCCGGTGGGCAGAGCTGCTGTGTGTCTGTGTCTTCCCTCTGCTCTTCCTCCTCCTCCTTCCCTTCCCCCACCGTTCCTCTCCCCTTTTCTCCTCCTCCCCTTCCCATCCCCCGTCAGTCTCTCTGACTTTTCCTTGCTGGAATAATCTCCTCTCCTGGGTAGGAGCTGGGGCCTCCTCTGGCTGGGAGCTGCGCCCTGACACGCGCTGCTCAGCTGGTGACCAAACCTCCATCACAGACCCTGGGCCGAGTCAGACTGGGGAGGGGGAGACAGCGACCGGCAGCCCCTGCCAGGCTCGGGCTCCGTAAAGAGCCCTGCTCGCCTCCGCAGATGCCCGGTGTCCACCCACACCCCCGCCAGGGGCGACCCGGGCCCCCCAACCCTGGTGCCCATCTCGGCCCCTCGCCGCTGCTTCGAGAGTACGTCTCTTTCCTCCATCCATCTGGGCTTCCTCCGTCGGGATCGCTGGTGCCCCAGGCCCGTGAGGGCCCGAGAGGGGAACGTGACACCGGCAAACGCAGCCCGGGCGCCGGGTGAAGCGAGGAGGTCGCGCCTGCGGAGGGAGGGAAGAGGGCAGGGAGAGGGAGGGCGGGGGGAGGGGCACACTCGGGCGCCCTGCTGGGCCGGCTCACAGCCCGGGGGGCCGCTAGCGGCATTTAGGGGGCAGCCTACGGCCCCGACGGGCTTTCTTCCCGCGCGCGGCCTTGGAGCCAGTGGAAGCCTGGCCCTTGGCCTCGCCGGCCTTGACGTGGGCACCAGCGCCCGTGCTCCCCTTTTTCTTCCTGCTTCCCGCGGCGTCGTCCAGATCCGAGCCCCGGCTCCCGGCTTTCTTCTCGGGAGTGACGCCCCGGCCTCGGCCTCTGCCGCCCCCGCGCGTTTTGCGGGCCCCGGACGCGGTGGGTGGTGCGCCGGCCGGAGTCAGGCCCCGGGGGGCGGTGCGAGCCCTCTTGGCCCGGGGCTTCGTGGATGCCCTGTCCTCGGGCTCCTCCGACGCCTCGCTCTCCGTGTCCTCCGACTCTTCCTCGGACTGTTCGTCCGAAGCTTCCTCCGAACCCTCGTTGGACCCCAGGTTTTCCCTGGCGGCCAGGAGCGCCAATACCTCCCCCAGTTTGCCTTTGGGGTATTTGTACTTCCCGCCTTCCCAGGCGTTTTCTTTTTCTTCCTTCATCACCTCCGCCATATCCTGCGCAGCCAGGAGCGCCACCAGCTCCAGAAGGCCCCCCTCATCCTCACCGTCCTCGCCCCAGCCCCCGAAGAGGCCACGCCCAGCCTTCTTCACCTGGGGAGGGAGATCCAGCTGCGCCAAGGTGGAAATGCACTCCCGGAGGTCCCCGTCGTCTCCGGCCTTGCGCAGGACCACCGCGTCCACCTCGCGGCCCGCCTCCTCCACCTTCACGCGGGTCCCGCAAGTGTCCTTGGACATGACGGACAGGACCTGTCGGAGCGCGTCTTGCTTGTCTTTCTTGTCGCTCCAGCCCAGCGACTCGATCACAGAAGCGATTTTCAACATCTCCTCCCGGGCCCAGGGGTCCGACGGGTCGGTATAGGCCACAATGGCCACGAACTCAGGATTGTCCAACCCCTCTGTTTCTTGGTCCTCACTTTCCTGCGAGTCGCTCTCCGAGGCGTCGCTGTCCACCGGCTCCTCCTCCGGGGTGTCTCTCACAGCCAGCAGGGCCACTAAGTCGGGGATGCAGCTTTTGCCTTCTTTGGTGTTCAAGGGGATGGATTCGGCCCCAGCTGGCTCCTTCTCTGCCTCTTCTTTCTTGGCTTTATCGGTGACAGTGACCAGAGCCAAGAACTCGCGGGGACCGTCTTCTTCCCCCTCGGAGCTGCAGGGCGCCCACTGCCTAACCAGCTCCCTGGCGGCCGCCTGGAGCGTGGCGTACAGCGCGCTCTGGTCCTCGTCTCCGCTCAGGTCGCCCTTGTCGATCTCCTCGATCACGATGCCCAGGCTGTCGTCGGAAGAGTCCTCGGCCTCACTCCTCGCGGAAGCGGATGGCCGCCCTCCTCGGCTTCTCTTCTTGCCCTTCTGAGTCAACCTGTTGCGTCTGGTTCTGTTTCTGCGACCCCGCCGGCCTCTCCTTGCGTTCTTGGCTGCCCCAAGAGGAGAGCCAACCTCCCCAGAATCCTGGGCCTGGGTCTCCGAAGCGGGAAGGGTGGGCGCCTCCCCCGGGGTCCCAGCCACCGCGGCCTGCACAGGCCCGTCATCCAGCAGCAGGCGTCTCATCTGCCTCAGGACCCTCGTGTCCTGCGCACGGTCCTTCCACAGAACCCTCCAGACCCCATCCTTGCCCGGGATGTCCCTGGGAATGGCGGCGTGATTGACGTCCTCCACAAACTCCACCAGGGCAGCCTGGGCCTTCTCGTTCGTCAAGGCCTTCATGCGTCGCAGTCTGAACGTGCCCAGGGGCAGGAGGGAAGGCTGCAGGGCGGCTTCGACGTGCGCCTGCTCCAGGCCCTCCGGGATGCCGGTGACCAGCAGGGCCCTGTGCGCGTCCACGTCCAGGCCCCGGCACCAGTCCTGCAGAAGGCTCATGGCCATGGTGCGGCCCACTGGACGCTGATCTTGGGGCAGGAGGGAGCCTGAGATGGGGTGGGCTGCAGCGCACGGCGTCAATGCCACCCTGGAAAGCCACCCGCAGGGCTTAGAGTCCTGGTTCCGGTGAATGTGGCAAGGCTGGAGTGGGGCTCGGGGGCCCTAGCTGCCTGCTGGCCGGCTGGACGCAGTGACCTTCCCCGGGACCCCTCCCCAGAGCTGTCCGAGGATCCGCAGGGGGGCTTACGTTTCTGCTTTCCAGGGCAGCTCCCTCCCTCTTTTTCTGACACAGGCCTCAGTGCCTGGGCAACGCGGCCAGGTGCAGGGGGGCGGCGCCGAGTGCACCTGGAGGGGCGTGGGAGGTGGGAGCCGCCGCTTGCCTGCTGCTCCAGCCGCGTCTGAGCGCGCACCCTCGGCCTGAATCTCAGCAGTTCCGCTGCGACGCGGCTGCTCGGGGCTGCGCCTGCGCAGACGGAGCCGCACGCTCTCCCCGGTCCCCCCCAACCGTCTCCATGGCAACAGTGCAGCCTGGAGCTGGGGTCTGCGTCGCTGTGGCCTGAGACGCTTCTCTTAAAGGTCCCGATGGGAGAAGGATCGGGGGTCTCGAAGCACCGCTTATTCATCAGCAGAAAACAAGGCCGAAACCGCAGAGGGCCAGAAATCACTCAAGGAGACCCGGTCTCATTCAGGGGCCAGAGGCCTCCTTCCAAAGGGTACGGGCTTCACTGGGGGTTACAGTTCCCCCTTCCAGTGGAGAGGTGGAATTCGGGATTACATAGGCCTAAATCAAGAGGCACTGGCCTCGCACCGTGGGACTAGGACTCACTCGGGACACTGGCCTTATTCACAGTATAAGAGTCTCAGTATTAAATAGGGGGGCCTAGGCCCCATCTGTGAGCAACAGACAGCATTTGGGGTATATGGCCCTCACTTGCGGGGTACAGGCCCCACTCAGTGGGACTGGCCCTCACTCCCAAGCATGTTCCTGTATTCTGAACTAAGCATACACAATGAATCCCGTGGTTCTGCACACGCTTTCAGCATATGAATGACCATGAGTGAGACCAGCCATGAATTTTGCAAGAAAGCATTTCCTTTGACTGGGACAGCAGACTGGGGCGTGTGAACGTCAGTCACAGCTACTGTAAGCATGCATGTGCTTCTCTGTCCCTTGTCGACCATGAGGCTGTCCCCTACTCTACATGAATCTGGCTCTGTAGGCCTGCTGCATCATCCCTACCTCAAAGGGTTGTTTTGTTTTTGGTTTTGGTTTTGTTTTTGTTTTGAGATGGAGTCTTGCTGTATAATCCAGGCTGGAGTGCAATAGCACAATCTTGGTTCACTGCAATCTCTGCCTCCCCGGTTCAAGAGATTCTCCTGCCTCGGCCTCCTGAGTAGCTAGGATTACAGGCCTCCCAAGTAGCCAGGATTACAGGCATATGCCACCACATCTGGAAAATTTTTATATTTTTTGTAAAGACAGGATTTCACCATCTTGCCCAGACTGATCTTGAAGTCCTGACCTCAAGGAATCCACTCGCCTCCAAAAGTGCTGGGATTACAGGGGTGAGCCACCACGCCTGGCCTCAAACCGTTCTCATGGAGATTAAAGGAACTAATCCAGGAAAGCATTTAGAAGAGAGGCTGGCCCACAGCTGTTGCTCTGTGAAAGATGGCTAAGCTATTTATTGAGAACCTACCATTATAAAAGCATATGATTTTGTTTGTTTTTGAGATGGAGTCTTGCTCTGTCACCCAGGCTGTAGTGCAATGGTGAGCTCACTGCAACCTCCGATACCCGGGTTCAAGCCATTCTCCTGCCTCAGCTCCGATAGCTGGGACTACAGGCATTCACCACCATGCCGGGCTAGTTTTGCATTTTTAGTAGAGATGGGTGTTCACCATGCTGACCAGGCTGGTCTCAAACTCCTAATCTCAGGTGATCCACCTGCCTTGGCTTCTCAAAGTGCTGGGATTACAGGCATGAGCCACCGTGCCCAGCCAAAAGCATCTGTTAACAAACAAATAAATAGGAAACCAAAACACCCCATGCTTTGTTTTTGTTTTGGCCACCGGGCCCACCCCCTTATTTTTGTGTTTGTTTGAGGTTTTTTTTTTTTTTTTTTTTTTTTTTTTTTTTTTACATTTAAGGAGACTTTAATTGCAAGGTTACCACAACAACTGAGCAAACTACTTACTCCTATTTTCCCTACTTTTTCCTCTTCCCACCTTCCTGACCCACGAATGGATGTCATGTGACTCTTCTCTCCCAAGCAGTGTTGTCCAACAGAAATAGAATGCCAGCCTCAAATCTGAACCACATGTATAATGTTGAAATTTCTAGTTGTGGCGAACTAACACTGACCTCAGGTCATCCATCCACCTCGGCCTCTCAGAGTGCTGAGATTACAGGTGTGAGCCACCACACCCAGCCTAATGTGTCATTTTTGACATTTGAATCTCCAATTTAGGCTGGGCATGGTGGCGCATGCCTGTAATCCCAGCTACTCAGGAGGGTGAGGCAGGAAAATCGCATGTACCCAGGAGGTGGAGGTTGCAGTGAGAAGAGATCATGCCACTGCACTGCAGCCTGGGTGTCGGAGCGAGACTCCATCTCTGAATGAATGAGTGTATGAATGAATGAATGAATGAATGAATGGAATAGAAGATTGGATGACACATGCCACACACACTGAAAACATGAGGAGTTTTCAAGGAATTTAAGGAGTTCTCGAAGTTCTTCTGCCTCAGCCTCCTAAGTAGCTAACAGGTGCCCACCACCACACCTGGCTAATTTTGTATTTTTAGTAGAGACAGGGTCTCACCATGTTAGCCAAACTCCTGACCTCAGGTGAGCTGCCCACCTCAGCCTCCCAAAGTGCTGGGATTACAGGCGTGAGCCACTGCGCCCAGCCTCCATTCCTTTTATGGCTGAGCAATGCTCCATGGAACAGATAAACCAAATTTTCTTTATTCATTGATCAGTTGATGGACATTTGGGTTGTTTCCACTTTTTGGCTATTATGAATATTCTGTGAACACAGACACATGATGAATATGCTCTGTGTAGACATATGTTTTCATTTCTCTTGGGTAGTCACTTTCAGGAGAGGAATCCCCGGGCATATGGTTACCCTGTGTTTAGTCATTTGAGGGGCTGAAGAGGTGCTTTTGGCAATGGCCAGTGCAGAGCAGAGTCTTTCCTACTTCCCACAAAGGCGCTGTAAGTGCCAAAAGAGTTAGGTTCTGGACCCAGATCACTGGAGACTGATTTTTCAACAGTGTCACAGGATGGGTGACTTAGATAGCAGAAATCTATTTTCTCACAGTTTCAGTGCCATTGGCTTAGTTTTTTACACTCACCCAATAACCAAGGAAGTCATTGTGTCTCTTCATGGCTCTGTGACCCCAGTTTATAGTGAGATTATGAGGATTTAAGAGGAGGTGTGGGCCGGGCATGGTGGCTCACGTCTGCAATCCCAGAATGTTGGGAGGCTGAGGTGGGTGGATCATGAGGTCAGGAGATCTAGACCATCCTGGCTAACACGGTGAAATCTTGTGTCTACTGAAAATACAAAAAATTAGCCAAGCATGGTGGCACATGCTTGTAGTCACAGCTACTTCGGGAGACTGAGGCAGGAGAATCGCTTTAACCTGGGAGGTGGAGGTTGCAGTAGCCAAGATCATGGCACTGCACTCCAGGCTGGGCAACACAAGACTCCATCTAAAAAAAAAAAAAAAAAAAAGAGAGAGAGAGATACATTTTCCAAACATTTAGTTATTTAATTACTTATAAAAAGTTTGGGGCTGGGCGCTGTGG